TCCTTCGTTGAAAATAACAACAATATTTGGTCAATTGGCAGATCAAACCTTTGTAATGATTTATTGTCCAAACCAATACTTGTTAACAAGAAACAGAGAGACGCGCCATAAAAAGAAGTGTGGTGTAACAACTCAGCTGACAAATCTCAATATTGGGTGTTACACTATTTGAGTTGATAATGGAAGGGTAACCGCTGAACTGAAGACACAAAGTGACTGAAACAATCCTGGATATATTGATTGTGCGTACCGGGCTTAACCGACAGGTTCTGTCATGTAATAGATCAAACCTGTATGTCTATAGGGGAGTGATTAGGAGAGACAGCCCACACATTGCAGTAGATAGACGTAATGGTACAATCAAATGTCTGTTACAGAATGTGCAACATGTGGGCGGGCATACAACTGCTGCAGTATGACACTGCATTTGCACGGAAGGTAGAACAGTATCTCGAACGATGTCGTTTGACGTATGCTATTGGCGATGTCGTGTTGGATTTTCTTGTTAATCGAGATTGCACCCCAAATTGTTTCTCTTTCCCTCCAAACTGGACGATTGGAGTAGCGCAAGCACCACTGAACTGTTCTGGTCGCTCTTCGATCCATATAAGAGCATAACAACTGTCCAGATGAAACTCTGACTCATCAGTGAACAGGATACTGTCCAGTACTGTCTGCTTAACCCCTGATTCTGTCTAAACTAGGTTAGGTGTGTCTGGTGGGTTTCAGTATATCAATCAAGAGTTATCACATGAATCGAAGTTTTAGAGTTTACCAGTCATGTGTTATGCCTTCAATACTGGTTTTACAGCATATCCGCCTGTATTATTCACAAATATGAGTGAGAGAGTGAGGTTTTCTGTCGCTTACAGTTATACCAGCCATGCTACGGAATATATCGAACCTTCATCGCGACCAACGGAGGTCTTTTCCATCTGGCTACTCCACTTGCGTTTATTTAAACAATATATTCCATGTCCAATATATTTTTATGGATTAAACTTCTTTCTAATTTCCCCCACGACGTTTCGAGACCATTCCAGGTCCCTTCATCAGGTGAACTGACAGTTGGGACTATGACGTCGTCACTATGACGTCATAACTGAGTTATGACGTCACAATGCAAGTGACATCACAGTACACTAGGGAGAGTACAGTATAAATGAGGTTGAAGTGTTAATTACGTAATGATGAAAATTCATGCTAAATAATAGAGTTGAAAGATGAATTGTCAATACACAACGACTGCTAATTACACAAAAGTTACTTGATAGCAGGCTTTCCAAAAAGTAAATAGTAGGCTTTTTTTTAATTTATTAAGTTCATCAAGAGGTCCCAGGCACTTGGCAGGTAGACACCTTGATCACGATTCATTGCCGGTTTATGTCTCCTTATCTCCACAGCCTCCTGTAGTTTCCTCCGACGCCAGTCGTTATTATTGCTCGAAAGCACCCTGATGTCATTCCACATGATTACATGACTTGGGTTATTTGCCTTGTGCTCCGATATAGCTGACTTATCATTTTGTTTGCATACTGACGACTTGTGTTCAGCAACCCGGGCGTTGATGGACCTGGAATGGTCTCGAAACGTCGTGAGGGAAATTAAAAAGAAGTTTAATCCATAATGATATCTTGGACATCAATGTACAACTTCTAAATGCCACTGAAAGACATAATATATTCCATATACATCACAAGGATAACGGACGTTCAGTAAAGACCATTGTTGTTGTATTAATAACATATCATACACAAGCTACATGTATTAACCTGTACCATCTAATCTCTTCACATGATATACAGAACATCATGAACGAGCGAAAAACAAATCATGGATCTGTACCTGACAACCTGTGTTCAGATGGCGAAGAAGTTTTGCGCCAGACGCCTTCACAATGTTGCCGTTCGGGATGAATTATGGTTCTCTTTGTGAAGAGTACAAAAATAAACTATTTAAGATTTAACGATCACATCTTTCTTAGGAAATTGAATTTGAGGCTTAGCGTTAAATCTTACTGTAGATTGCTTCAGAAATATGAGGTCTCTATTGAATGGAAGCTTTATAGAAACTACCACATTGACGTGATTTAACGTCCTTGTGGAGAAGTTAAAATACGAAATGTGCTGCCTGACGAGGGAAAGACATTAACGAAACGCTGACTTAGGATATTCAGTTTGTGGGCGGTTTAGTGGCGGTAAAGTGGAAAGGCTTAGTAGAATATCACATACCATACATTCGTGTTCTACGACAGCAGAGACGAACAATAATTAATTTGTTGCATTTAATGATTTCACCCATCAAAAAATGTATTATTTAATAGCTTTCAATGTTGTAAATACCAATTTGAGGATTTTTCAGTAATCGATTGATGTGCATTTGGAGATTGAAACCATAACGATGTCTGATTATTGTGGACTTTCAGGACTGATTATCATTTTTACTCTACATTGTATTTTAGAGCTTTGATAATCTCTTTGATGTTTGCATGTTTGCCCGATCAGGTTATCGATCTGCAAGAATGGATGACACGTAAGCATTAAGTAATGCTTTTATCGAAATGGAATGCTGTTTGTTCCAGTTCTATTCCAAGTTAATGGGCGCACAATGCAAATTATTTATGACACAAAATGAACACTTGAACGGTCTGATATGATTTACGACCATAACATAATATTATTTGCAAAGTTACCAGTTTTAGCTATGAATCCTAAATATAACAATCAACATATTCCCGCGATTTCACTTTTAGCGTCCACTTATGTCCTGCTTCGGATCTTTAAAAAAGACGTAAAAACGTAACGTTAGACGTCTATGATATGGGTCGGCCTTTCTTCCAGCATCAAGGTCCTACGTCAGGATATAAGTGAAATACAAAATAAATGATCGACGTTAAAACAAGAAGTGACTCACGCACTGACTCACCGATTCTCACTCTAGCTTCCACAAGCATCCTTCCTTTAAAAAGTATATCACTTTAAGTTGGACAACTGCAATGTCTTCTCATTTATCCCTGCTATAACTGTGAGAACATAATTTCCGCCTGTCGTGTTACACAATGTATTCCCTGTTTAGCATAACCCATTATCATATGAAGATAGGAATATTACAGCTATAATCTTGGATGACATGATTATTGAAACTACCACAATCACAGTTGTCGTTACTTGTCATTTCTTTGCAGTTTGGTTGTTTGATCATTGTTGTAGACGCCAGTATCCAATATATGAACTGATGACAAAACCTAGGATGTGCACAATATAATAACAGCCGAATTAGTCTATCGTGACTCCGTGGCATTCTGCACAGCTGACGATTGGCAGATTCCATTGAATCAAACAAAACGATCGATATAGTTTTCTTTGAACGTGCGATGTGACGACAGTCTAGCTGTTAGTCCTGATGAAAGTGCATGATGTTTGTTTTCATCCCACGTTCCAGGTCTAGCTTTGCCGATGCTAACAGTGTTTGTATCGTACTTTGTCCTTTTCATTTCAAAAAGGTTCGGCATTGAGTTATGTGCTTGACAACGATACAAGAATCGAAACGTCTCATCATCTGAATACAGAAGTTGTCTATCCAGAACGTTTCCTTATCCAAAACCTAAAGAATTAAGCATCTTCAGGAATACAATACTACATTCGTGTAGAACTTCTCCACTTAAACCATGTCCTCCACAGTGTAGAACTTCTGCACTTAAACCACATCTTTCACACCTAGTTGGCTGCATATTTTGCCATGCAATTAAACTTACACATTAAGACTTCGTCAGATGCACTAATGGAAATATACGCATAAAGGTAATATAGACTCCAATCTTGTGGGGATTGTGTGAGACTGCTTTGAAGGCGTAGCCCTAATTAGAATTACAAATACACTGACCACCATGATTTGGAATCCATATTTAGACCAATGTCATCAGGAGAAAAACAATCATGTCTATGTAGTTGTCAGGGTATACTGTCACCAGCATATCAGAGTATACTGTCACCAGCATATCGGATCACTGCATTACTGGGGCCCTGCCTTTACTTAGTTACTGTGGTGAAACTGTAACACTGTACACAGACAAACTGTAACATTATGAAGACAACCATCTCTAAACAGTTCATTGGCCTTAAGAAACATACATGTTTTATAACCGTGGAGACTTTTGGTTCCAGAAATCTTGGTCCGGTTGTCGGAGATGACTAAAAGGTTTGAGTTGTCAGGCACAGTCACTTGGTTGATTTCGTTTCACTGTACTCCTGAGGGCATAAATCGTTGCTTACGATATCATTCGCAGATATGGACACATACATATGTACATTTTGTTCTATCAACCAAAACAATCAATAAAGGTATATATCAGAGTGGATTGGAATGGTGAGACCAGAGTCTAATACGGCATAGTTGAGAAACTTGCCCATTGATATACTATGGTCTATGTCCTCCTTAAAGTAGTAGACAAACATCGTCATAACAACAGCGGTCAAGGTCATTGTCATTTGTGTCTTCGACACCCAGACGATGACCCTAAGGACTATCTAATGTAATAATACACGATGTTTTGGGGTTGTTTGCTGATGGTTATAAATGCTTTCATTAGAACGGCTTGCCCAGTTTACCGCACAGGTGTACATTTGTACATCGACGTTTTCGTGAAAACATTTACTTGAAAATATTAACATAAACCATATTCACATGTATTAGTCAGTCTTCGTTTATTCTATGTATGTTTTATATATATTTGGACAAATATTTGACAGAATTCACCATTGACTGGTATTTCATGTTCAACGAATAGTCCGTGTTTTCGTGTTTGGAAAACGACCAAGTCATCCCAGGAGATGAAACAAGCACGCAAGCACGCATGCAAACTAACGCTGACAACTAGCAGTGATAGAAGCATAGGAAAGTAATGTCACTCCGCACAGTTCCACGGCTAAACACTTGGGAAGTTCTAATGCATTTCTTTTCTATCGTGTATATGACGCTATTAACGTAGCCACATTTTAAACAGTACCTGAAACTCTACGATACCCGATTGTTAGATGTTGGATAAAAGCAAAATGTAATTCACTAAACACATCGAATTATACATTCCAGCAGTCGGAGTTATCTCAGAACCTTCATCCAACAATCTCTGTGTGTGTCACTTGGTTTCCTTCCACGCCTCAGTTCTGATGTCATCCTATCCAGCACCATGACGTACACGGAAACGCCAGAACACTACATGAAAAAACTGACGTATTAAGTGACACCTCAACTTTTATCTATTCTTGCGGAGTTACTTTTCGAAATGCACACTTGAAAATATAATCTTGGACGTAACGGCTATTTACGCCACCACAATCACAGTCCATTGCCATGCCAATTCTGTCATTAGTTGTGGTCACCAATATCACCATCGTAACAGGTCAACCTCCCTTAGAAAGCTGGGCAATGCACTACAAAACAAAAATCTAATTTCGTGACTTCAGATTTTTCTGCTCAGCTAACGAAAATGGTTTTCTTTGATAGTGTCACGAGACGAAAAGCTCTTTGTTATTTCTGATGTAAGTGCATGATGGTTGCTATGACCGACGTACTTCCAGCTATTTTCCCATGCTGTCTGCAAATTAGATTAAGTGAATGATAGTTCTTGAACAAGCGTATTGTCGAACATAGAGATTTTTCTGGGTTACATCTTCTTTTTATTCTCGAGTACAACGTTTCAGGGCTTGTTCTGGCCCCATCATCAGGTAAACTGAACAGTAACTGTTAACTCTGGCCGTGACGTCACAATGCTTATGATCATGAAATTTACTGGGAAACTGAAGTCCTCTCAAAAAACATCAGTGACTGGCGTAAACGCAAGTTGATTGAGGCTATCTTCATCAAACGCACAAAACCAGCAATAAACAGGGACCAGGGTGTCTACCTCCCAAATGCATGGTACATAAAACAATAAGACAATACCCTACCTCGTCACTGTTCCCATGTATAAAGCATAATTTCTATGTATACACTGCTATTACTTTACATTCTATACATTTATAAATACGTCTCTGTACATTTCTAATTCAATCAACAATTTTGTATAAGTATCTGCACAGTTCTAAATTGATCCATTAATTTTGCAGTAAATGACATCTTATATATTCATAATAACATGTATTCTATTAGCCATGTCATCTGTATCTATTGACCACCACATGTATTGCGTCGTCATAGCATTGTGACGTCACGGCCAGAGTTAACAGTTACTGTTCAGTTTACCTGATGATGGGGCCAGAACAAGCCCTGAAACGTTGTACTCGAGAATAAAAAGAAGATGTAACCCAGAAAAATCTCTATGTTCATCAAATATCATCTTCTAAAATGCCAATCAAGCATCTAAACGTATTGTCTTTATCAAAGATGGATTGAAGAGAAAACATGTACGTCCAAATCGCATGTCCTTTGTTGTGTACTTTACTCAATGGACATTCAGGAGACAAGGTACTGTAAGGTAAGGGTCCTGGTTTGGCACAGGAACATCTGCATAATTTACTAACCACATCACACGTTTTGTTGACTGTGAAGAAGGTCATCAATTGTATGTTTTGGAATTTGGGATTTCGTTCGTGGCTACATCCACATACACTGGATATCGGGCAACAGTATAAGTTGTATGCTTCTCTCGAGGGTAATATGGTCTGATGTACACCTCTTTGTAGCAATGTCACCTGAGCCGGTTGACCATATATATTCAAGACACAACTAAATTATATCCTGATTTTGAATTGATCATACAAGCCAGTTGTGCTTGAGGTTTCTGTATCATGGAAGGTGTTTAAATATATTTAAGAGGCAAGAGAGACATCTTTGCCGAATGTATTACTCCCTCTCTAACGAATAACGCAATTTGTATTGTACGTGTATTGCATTAATTTAGACTGCGTCAGATATTTCATCTCAGAATATAATGGCATTATGGAGCTGTTATCATAGTCATATCCTATTGTTCCTGATACAACAACACAGGTTTTCGTATCATTGGTCTTCCGAAATTGTTCAACATAATTTAAATAATACTTCAAAGCACAAACGTTTTTCTTTAATATGAAAGAATACCAAACCTATGCACGCCATGGCTATTTAAACGGTTGGACACACACCTCAGCACAACAATAACGGTTTGGGCGAAATATGGCAACTTTGACAAAATTAATATTGCGGTTCGCAACCATCCTCTACTCAGTCCTTCTATATAAGATTTTGTTTTAAATTCAGTAATAATCCAATTTTATTGAGATTGTATGTTCACATAGATTTTCGATAACCTCTGATTGTCATTTTTATAAACTGAAGGTATTAGAGCATCTATACATTTTTCGTCTCTTACACCCGTAATTGAGTGATGGGAATATAATCAACACCAGACTTTCCAGGGGTTGTGGATTGGACGAAGAATCAATTAGGGCCCGTTCCAATAATGGTATAATAGTCGTGTAAACACCCAATCTGTGTAACTGCCCATTGTGTGCATTGGGCAGGCCCTTTGCCCAATGTGTGCAATGTGTAATACACATTGCCGTGTATGCGTTATACAATCTAAATCACAGAAGCCAACAGGAGACAGATATTTTATAAATATCTATTCACCGATTTATTTCATACAGATACTACTACTGTAAAATACAAATAGAATACGGCATGAACATAATCCATTTGGCCAAATGTAGACTTTAATACACACCAAGTAAATGCGATATACAAAATATATATCCTGAAAGTAGTCAGCATCAACATTCAAGTAGAAGATATATACTAATTCGAGGAAACCAAAACCCGCACACGAAGTTTCTTTCAATTTCTGAAAGTAATCAACTTGTATAAACGACAATGTCAGAAGCACCTCTCCGTCGATTTTACTGACGGGAGTCTTGTCTGGATTGTTTGAAAGTACTTCAAAGTCTCATCCCGGAACAAAATAACAACGATACTCACCAACATGAATGGGAATCAGTATTGAGACCAATATTATCAAGAAAACAACAACCAAGTTTTTGTCTTTGAGGGTATCTGAATTTACCATAAAAAGCAGATATATCACCATTGGATACATGGGCCTTACAACTAATTTCATCACTGGTCTTGTATGTAATCTGTTTCCGTGGTGAAAGTGAAATATACTCACTGACTGACTGAGTTTGGTTTTACGCTGCTTTTAGCAATATTCCGGCAACATCACGGCGGGGGACACCAGAAATCGGAAAGTGAAATATAAACACGATATACCGTAATATATCTTCAATGATGAAGCCAAACAGCCCTTAACAGGAAGCCGTTAAGACGGGTTGAGGAACCTGTTTGCATTCTTGGTTTCAGAAACCTAGGTCTGGTCGTAGGACTAAAGAGTTCAGGAGGTCAGGCACAGTGACTTCCTTGTCTGCATATCATTACACTACATTTCGCTGTTCACAATATCACTCCCTGGATTGTCTGGACAGGTCACCATCATATGTTTACATATGCATGTAAAATAATTGGTGCAGCGTTAAACAACAACTCAAAATGTTGGACACTGGATTGGAATGGTGAAACCCGAGCCTAAAACGACCTGGTTCAAGAGCTTGCCCTTTGACATTCGCTGTGTCGAATAACCTCTGTTAACTCTGTTGTTGACTTATCCTAAGTAAGAGACAAGCACCGTCATACAAACAGCGGTCAAGTTCATAGTCATTAGTGGCGTGGACACTGCAGACGACGACTTAAAGGATTATCTAATGTAATAACACAATATGTTATGGGGTTGTTGCTACCGGGAGGGTCATATTTACTTTCTTCACAACTGCCTGCCAAATATATTGATATACGACATGAAACCCATTAATCAAACACGCGATTATCTTTACAATTAATTATATTCACATGTATCAGTCAGACAGATCTTGAAGCTTCAATACTCTTCTTTTTTATTTGACGTTTCTCAATGCGTATTTGGACGAACAGATGACTGAAATTCCCAATGGTATGTGTAACAAGCAAACGTATTTTAAAATTTTGGCGTAATGTATATAAAACCACAAAATAAACTTTCATTGGGATTAACACATCTCACAGCACAATGTTGAACGCAGATACATGCATTTCTATTAATCATGGAGCGTCCATATGATATTATTCATATTGCGCAGTGGTAATCGTACAGTAGGAATTTCTTAACGTTCGGCTGTCACGAGTTGATGAGTGATTCATAACTTCCGCACAAAATGCGGAGTTTCATTATCGATTTAAAATAATGTAACAAATGTTTCATGTTTTATTTTAGACTGCACGTCCTACGTACCCTTGCTAACATGTTCATATTGTCAACATCCGTAACGTGTCCCTGTATCACCGCACCCACCAAACTGGTTAAGCGAGCCTAAAATCAATAAATAACTTGTCAGTACTGTCACTTTTTACATATAGACCAAGTTTTATAACTTGTTTTGGAAAACGCGCACGCCAACGAAGACGACGAGGGAAGCAGTGTATGAACACCGAAGTTGAAAACAAAAAATATCAACCATCCCCTCACTCATCCAATTCTTGTATACCCAATACAACCCTGTGCATATGTCTTCCGCTATTTTATGCAATATCTTCAAGCTTCAAGAACACTTGAACAAAGTCATAATATCGTCAATTTGTCTGCGTAGAATATATGATTTAGTTTGTGTCTAAATTCATCAGCATATTATTAATAAAATGTAACAAACCTTTGCAATTGGTTGATAATATCATATCACGATTGCCTGTCCCGTTTTACTCTTTGACCTACGTCACTAACTATCGAATTCGACCCATGAAAATCGTCGGTGACTTTACTATTTAAGACACCAAAACCAAAACCAAAGTACATTGTCCTGTATGTGTAGTTTTTATTAGTTTCATCAACATTATATCCCCATCTGAAGTAAACAGTGATGTGCACAACAAAACAGCAGTCTCATCTCTCTGTCTTGACTTAAGAACTTTCCGCTCAGATGAAGATTGTTCGGCTGACTGTGTTGAGTCCAACAAAAGATAGCGAGGCCATCGAAATGGTTTCCCTTGTCATCAAACGACAATCACTTTGATATTCCTGATGGAAGGGCAATATGTTAGCGTTTGACTTCTGTTCTACTTCCAGCTGTGTTCCCTCAGCAAATACGATCAAGCCACAGCTTCAGTGAATAGACAATACTGAAACAAACTAAATGTCTTTATCAAACATGGGTTTAGGTGAACGCATGTATTTGCTGACTACACGTGGTCCTTGTTAAGTCCTTCCCATAACAGAACAAAAAGGTACTGCAAGTTTAGGGTCCCTCTTGGACCACAGAATGTGCATAATGTCAAACATTGCCGAACTGAGTCAAACTTGTCTTGAGGATTAGGAACGCAATTCAGCAAACCCTTTTAAGGCGCTGTAGTCACAGATGGATTCAGATGTATTTGCCTACTTCACGTGTCCTTTGTTAAGTACTTTCCTCATCAAAATCAAAATGACAAGGTGGTGTAAAATAAAGACCCCAATGAGACCACACAATCTGCATAATGTTAAACCGTGCTGAACTGAGTCAAACTTGTCTTGAGCATGAGAGACGCAATTCAGAAATATGCTTTAGACGCTGTAACTATACATTCAGCATCTGTCCTACTATATGACGGCGGACTGTAAATAATCAATGCAATCAAGTGGTCGACGTTACGAGGTCATCGAGCCTGACCACTCGATCCGTCTCATTTATGGAAGAATAGATTGTCAGAGACAATTTCTAAAGCGGAATCAAAATGGGTTTAATAGTTTTGTCGCCTATTACGACAAGCATCGTTGATATGGGAGGACCCACAATCCCAAATTCCCACGGGATCTTGAACTGGAAGGAAGAGCATTTAAGGACAGCTTCAATGACCTTGGACAGTTATATATAATACCTCATAGTATTCCACCATCTTCAGGAATGGTATACTACTTTCGCCCCTTCTTACGCCAAGTAAGTGGCAAGGTGCCTTGAATGGGGACCAATTGTGACCTGCTTGAAAAACGGCGTAATAGTTGAACATACAGCCTGAAAGTATTCAGGATCTACAGGAACACAAAACCACATTCACGTAGAATGTCCTTAGTCATGAAATCCATCTCCCTCACACGTAGTTACTTAGTATTTTGGGATGTAAGGTGCACAAATGGACAAAAAAGGTCGGCCAATATTGCCAACTCCAATCTCGTCTGGATTGTTTGACATTCCTTTGAAGCCTTATCGTTAATAACAACATGAATGGACATTGTATATGTAGATCAATGTCACCGGGAAAACAGCAATCATGGCTGTCTTTGAAGTTATCACACTATACTATTGCAAACATATGAATGTCCAGTGCATATCAGAGCCCACAACCAACTCCATTACTGTTCCTGTCTGTAAGCATTTTCTGTGGCGAACTGAAACATAATACACACACGGGTTTTGGACAATTTAGAAACCCGAATGTTGTCTCCCCATGGGGCTTCCCGACCCGTACAACCTTTGGTGGTCGAAAGAGGTGATAAGGAGTGAGTGAGTGAGTGAGTGAGTGAGTCAAAATTTAAAGTCACATCGGCACTATTTGAGCCATACCGTGACTAAAACTAGTTCTAAATTCATATAATATGTAAAACCCTGTCAAAGAAGGACAGTAAAATTACTAGATTATCACAAAAGGAGTTAAAACTAGCTAGCATATATC